ATTACTAAATTTGTATAATCGATCTTACGATGTAGATCTTAAGAAAATCAGCCAATCACACGAATGTCCCCCTATGAGGGCAAGAATTATTCGGGTACACAGTATCATGTTAAGGATTCGAAAAATCTTTGTTCATTACGAAAGCAATGGCACTTACTAGTCCATCCTCACTTTTAAACTATGAAGAGTATATAAATAATTGGGAAAATTTGTGCGATAATTTTTACACAGAAAACAACGAATTGATAGGATCAGTTATTAGTTTAGTCGAATTTGCTATTCGTTCGGACGGGGAAGTGAAGATAAATTGGGCTATTATTGATAAAATAAACGATGGTTCTGCAGCTAAAATAACTCAATTGCTCGCCCAAATTGGGTTCATTAATGATGTAATGGTTTATCCAGAATATTATGAATCCTATCTTGCCACTAAACGAAAAGTAAGATCAGATTGGCATAAGAAAAAAGCAGCGGAGCTTCTTCAAGAATTTGATCGGTTACTCCATTCGACAATTGCACAATATACACCACTTCATCGTCGATCTGAACTTCAAACTTTTCTTAATCAATATAAATCTTCGGTAGGAGCATCTCCTTTCATTAAAGGTCTTTGGCGTACATTACAATTACAAGTAAATCATGAAAATCTTGTTTCCTGGACATTTTTGGATGGTAATGTTTAATACATCAAGTCTTGAAATAACAACAAATAATAATGACGAATATTATATTTTTTCTTTTAGACATTTTCACACAAAATGAGCCAGATTTTATGCGTGCATCGGTGAATTTGTTGATCAATGTATTAGGTTTTACGCATACAATACAAGTAGCTGATGAAAGTGGCCAACAAGCGAGTTTGCGTACTTGGTATTTAAATAACACTTTGAGTGATCATGAAATTAAATCATTGGTTAAATTATTTCCAAAAGATAACATTACTGATAATGTTCGAGCTACTGGAACCATAGATTTATCCTCTCAATTACGATCATCAGAAGCGGTCAACAACTCAAAATCAACAATCGCCCATTTGATTTCACTACCAATTAAAATTGTTACATTCTGTTTAAATACCTTACGATCCTGTGTGAATTTTTGCTTTGGTATTTTTTCATGGCGTAAAAAGAATGAGTTTCAAACTTGATAGAGAATTAGTAATATTGTAACCATATAATTATTCTATTATTAGACCTAAATTAATAGAATCCCTTATCACAGAATTTTCCGTTCCTGACGAAATTCGCCTTCTATTTTCTACTAGCTCTGAACTATTATTATTAAGATTAAATATATAATATATCGTTAGGTAGTAGATGCTAATTTATAAATTCTTGGTTTCACATATTTCATTAGTCTCTAGAAATCTGATCCTGGTATTTTGAATGTTTCGGCAAGAGTAATATATTTTGATACCAATTTAGATATAGGTGGCGATAATTTCATTGATATGAGATTATAATGTATCTTGGATAGTCCTTCGTTTCGTATCAGTTTGTTGAGATTATATCCAACAATTGTTGGATACTACAAAGTAAACAATAAATTAGACAAGTAAAAAAAAAAGGATTATCTAATATTATAGATGTGAACGATTGATCTTACAATAATTTCATGATACCATCGTTCATAATAGATTGTCAATTTTACTACTGCACCCAGAGTATGTTGCACGTCCCCTTCTTCTGCATGGTACTCCAATAATTTCAGCCACGCCTTAGCTGAAAATCTAAAATCAAGACATCGTTGGTAGGCCTCTTTCGCTTCTTCCTATTAATAATGAGGAGGAATAAATGGATATAAGATGCTTGCAGAATACTGTATATTTTGATAGTAGAAACAACTTTCTTACCTTATGATGTAATCTAGAAGCCAAATCACCCAAGATTTCCCATTCCGTTCCAGTTTTGCGATATAATAGCTGGTGAGCCTTATAATGAGAAACTTCAGAACGCCATACAGTGTATACTCTTAGATCCTGAGAAAATATTTATTAATTAGTTTTTATATTAAATTTTTTGTCCATAAATAAGTTAAATTTATTCTATAAAAAATACCTCATACAAAACCATAAATAAATTATCAAGCCATCTGTACGATCAATCAGATTATTTTATTATGATATCATCGAAAAATATATGCTAATTCAGTTGAATTCAAGGATCATACCTTTCACATAATCGCTTATTATTAAAAGAAAATGCGTAATCCTTTTTTAATACCGCATCCTTAATAAATAGAAAAGTCAATATTGAAATTCTTACATAAGTTTATATATAGGCATTTCGTATCAATACCTTGTTCTGCTCATCATGTTGACTTTGGGCATCATTTTTTTCCTCGTTGGCTGCTTGAGATGGTCTTTCTAATTCAGGTCCTTTGAAAGGAATTGGCCCTGGGTCATTTTCTTTATTATTTTCCGCATCATTTTCCCCCGATATTTCCGTTTTCTCGTCATCGTCTAGAGTCTCTGGATCTGTTGGATTGTTTTCTTTTGGTATAGATTCTGATTCATTGGTTGATTGCTGTTCTTTTTCATCAGGCGCTTCTGAAGTTTTTATTTCTGCATTATCTTCGACATTATTAGCATGTTTCTCATTAACATTAAATTGATCGATATTAGGATTTTCGGCTTGCGCGGGAGCATTTCCATCATTTATAGCTTGATTGTCTTCAGTATCATTAGATACGATTATTTTCGGTAATTTTTCGGTATTGTCAACTCTATTTGTTTGCCTTTTATTTACAACTTCTTGATCTTTCTTGAGTTCTGTTAAGTCAGAGATGCGAGTTTGATTAATGCCAATTTGTTTTTGATTTTGTTTATGTCGTTCTTCTTCAGCTGCTTTTTGTAATCTGTATTCTTCCTCCATTACAAAAACTGATGATCGGCATTTCAAAAGCTCATCCCATCCAATCTTGGAAACTAAGCGGGTCAATAATGAATAAGCCTTCGCAAAAGTACCACGTAGAGAAGGCGCTGGTAAACGCATTAGAGCGACATCAACCTAATCATATAACAACTTGGTAAAAGCGTTATTCTCAATTAAAACGCTCAAAATTAGTAAGCTAATAGAAAATGTATACCTACCTCATTATCACGTCCATTATCTTCATCTAGGCCAGCATTTGCTATCTCTGTTTTAATTGGAAGATGGGTTTTTGCAGGGGTTGGCATGCGATGCATGTCTCTTTCGTTATAGGTAAACATGGGACAAGAATTCAATGTCAATAACGCCTTTAGAGAAATCAAATAGCAAATAGACCAAATTCCAGCCAAAAAATTGAATCGCAGAGGAAACGCGTATGAAAATAAAAGAAATAAATAAATTTATTATTTGTATTCATAAAGAAATGATATTTTAATGACACATACCGATTCATAATCGTCAAGTTCTATATACACTTCGGTCAATTTTGCCCATGTCACAAATTCTGAAGGCGCAGCATTCACAGCTTGTTTAGCAAGTTTGAGCGCATATTCGGTTCGGCCCTATATGTTGCATATTGAAACCGCATTAAGATTTATTAATCGTCTTTTATTTTATAATTAAAATATAGATTAGTGCCAAAAGAATAATAAGAGGGGTTAAACAAAGTTATGATTCTACCTTTGTTAATAAAAAATCTGCTTGAACATGTAATAAAGCATAGCTCATCGGATTCTGTTTCAAAGCATCATATAGAATATTAACACCCTTGATTTCCTCATCTTAAAAAGAAAGTAACGAATGAATTTTATGATAGTCAACAAAAGACAAAGTTATATTAAAAAAAAGATTACCCATTCCGATATAAGATTGCGCTAACAAAGCCGCTACTTCAGGATCTTTAGGATATAGTAATTATCAATCAAGGAATATAAAAGTAATAATTGAGGATAATTAGAAAATTTACGGAAAGGATATATTTCTCAAAAAGATTGACAGCAGGTCCAAATCTAAAATTTTGACTAAAATATTTCATAATTCCGGCGGTTAAGTGGTTGCTCACTACATTTGCGACTTGAATCTCGGGATCAGAGCCTAACTGCCATCCTATTAAAATGTTTGGCAGTTAAAATCATAATACAAGATCTTAAGGAGCAATAATTATTGTCACCAAACCTTTGAAAAAGAGATTCTCTGCTGCTTCTAAAAAATGATTTTCAGCTTCCAGATTAGGAATAGGATCTAATTTACGGAAACCAGCCAATCGATAGTTGGCATCATCGGAATAGAGAATAGAGCGAAGGATTGCCGAAATATAAGTTTCTTGCCACACTTCTGGAGTTGCTTCATGTCTAATCATACAAATTAAATTGTCTTTTAACTTGAATCTGCTAAATATTCACTATATAAATTTTAATACCTTTCACCCCGCAAGTCTACCACATAACTTTCTACACCCCCAGGGATCTTAACTTCAACTCTAACATCAACTCGAGAGAATGCATTAAAGCAACTTATATGGATATATATATGTGAATCAATGTGAATATGATAAGACGCGACCAATTTCACAAAATTAGTTATTCAAAATATTTTAATTACCAATATACCCCCGATCGAATTCTCCAAGCTGCTGATTTTGAAAACCAAGCATGAGTTTCTTCCTAATTGAGAGGCAAAGTAAAGAAACTTCAAATAATCGTAATGTTTATCGCAAGGATCAAATAAAATTTTACCAGAGCATAGGTGAGAGAGTTTAGATAAGCAGCTAATGTAGCCGAAGATGATGCATCAACACCTGATACATAATGATAAGACCCAATCTAATAATAACATTACTTATGTAAATTTGTGAAAAGTAAATATACAGCGTTTGGTTTAAAATTACTCACTTCCTTCACCCCAGGTTTAGAATTTGCCTTAGTTATATGGCAGAGATCAGGAGGACCTAATTCGCGAAAAGATGCTAAGGTAGAACGAAGTTCAGGGTAAAAACTCGGTTGATAAGTTTAAATGAAAGAGTAATATGCGTTGTCCAGTAATCGTTACGATTTCTCAATGAGCAAAAGACAGGAAAGATGTAATAGCTAAATTTTAAATTCACACCTAGACTTTCGGTTCTTGCACTTAAAGATTCATCAAGTTGCGTTTCGAAAAACTCGGGAACATCCTTCAAAGTATCCATGAGTCAAAAGATACTGTTTAAAGAACAATTAAAAAAATCTACACATGTAACGTCATTCCTCTTTTTGATCAACATATAATTTCCTAACAAAAGAAATCGGATCCAATATTGCTTTATTTTTTTTATTATACTGTTTTCAAAGAAACAATTATACGACAATAATTAAATGTCAAATAAAAATATCTAATTTAAAACAAGAGTTGCGACTACAATACATTAATGTCAAAAGATATTCTCCATCTCCATATTTTAGTAAAAAAGAATTGATCAATCTCCCCATCCATCCGAGGTTTGCTGTTGAGCTAGATCCTGAGGCTGAGGAACAGGAGCCCAGTCTGTTTGAGGGGTAAACTCTTTCGGAACAGGAGAGGTAGGAGCGACCGGAATATCCTGAGGAAGACCCTGGAAATCTTCAGAAGTTGGCTGTGTAATGGGATGCTCTTCTTTGGGATCCTATGAGAAGCCCATAATTTATTAAATTTGATTTTGGAAATTCAAAGAAAACAATGTATAAAATACAATTTAAAAAATTGATTTACAAACCATAACAGTGACTAGATCAGGAATTGGATTCTTAGGACCAACTTTTCCACTTGGATCCCATTCCTATATATTTATAATAATCGTTAAGAAATATACTAAATAGTCGACAACAATTATAAGCTTAACACTTGCCAACATAATCTTCACTTTGATACCTAATACACCTTGTCTTAACATAACATGACGCACTGAGGTGTCAACATACTCACGAATTGGCTGACCAGAATGGATCATGAATCCGTCAACAAATTTCATGGATTTTGCACGAGCAGCTCTTAATTTACCAGACACTACCACTTCGCATCCCTTTGCACCAGATTCCATGATGAAACGAAGTACACCATAACAAGCTCTAAAAATAAAAATCATTTAATTCGATCGATCGCTCGATCTAATTAATAAGTATAAAATCATTGCAAACCTTCTCACAGCAAGACCGGCGAGTAATTTATAACGAAGTGATTCACATTGAGCAATAGCACAAAGACCACGATTTTGTACTTTTTCCGCGTAAAGTTCCACAGTATTTTCCGGGAACTTGAATCTTTTTTGAATTAAAGCAGTAAGTTCACGAATTCGACGTCCTCTTTCACCAAGCACTTCTTGTGTGTGTGTAGCACGTATAATAAGTTCCGTCCGTGCGGGAGTAACTCGTACTTCCACGCCGGAATAACCCTCTTCAGCCAACTCTCGAGTAAAAAATTCATTTAACTCTGCAAAAAAAACTCCATCCGCCACAAACTAATTATCGATCCGAGAATTGATTTCAATAGGTCGATATATATATATCAATTAAACAAAGAAAATATTAATATAAAATTTATTGACAATTTTAACTACAATCCATTTTCATTTCCAAGTTCAAAGTATAGCAAAATGGTTGGTCTGATTCAGATTTTTTGGAATTCAGTGCATTATGTTTTTCGTTGAGAAAATCATTCAAACAAGAGGTGCCAGATATAATATTTCATCATAAATATCAACCCAACGAATGCCAATGCAAGAAATGGGATAACAAGAATATTATCTCTTTCATATTCATTGTGAATAACAATAATAGTATTAATTAAGCTCATGTACCTTTCTCTTCTTTGATATTTGCGACATTTTATTCTCACAATTTGAAAAAAAATTAAGTAAAAAAAATTTTTCAAGAAAAATTTTAATTACGATTAGAAATCTGAGCCGCAGTATTTCTTCGCTATAATTGGCTCGAAACGAGATTCATTTAAAGCTTGAGAAATTTAATAACGATAAGAGAATTTTTTCCTGTTTCAAAATTATAACTTAAAGGAATTTCTCCAAGTTAAATTCCAGGGCTGAACATGGAAATACCAATTCATAATTTTCTAATACATTAGGATGAATAATACCAAAACTACCAATCTTTGTTGTTGTCGTATTTGAAGATGAAGAGACAGTTCGTAAGAAAATGTCAGCGCTACGTTTTGGAAAGAAGGTTGGATCTGATAGAAATTAATTTTATTAGTCAATCTTTAAATGATTAGTAAAAAAACATGCCAATTACAAGATAAATAAAATTTACTTGATGATTCCTTTATGAAATATCCACTTTCATCTTCAGATGGCGAAACTAAGTTGACGTGAAGCATTTCCAAGAGATAATTCAATAACCCATGAATTACCTAGAAAATAAATCAATAAATATAAGTATTGAGTCCACACATATCACGAATTATTTATAATTATTACTAACCTCAAACCCAGATGTTTTATTGCTATATATCGCACAGACTTTCCTTTCATTCCGAGCACGTCTTTCTAAAGAGTCATCTTTAAAAACTACATCCGAAACTTCAAAGAGTTTAATTGGCAATGCATGTTTTTTATTTTCTCTCAAAGTCTTCAATACACCAGGAAGGAGAGAAGTGCGAACAACCTGATATTCGGCAGTTTTAGGATTTGCCAATTTTATAGCGGTCGTTCCATCATCTTCCTTGCCGAGATATGCGAAATTCTCTTCGTGTGAACACTTTAGAAACATACAAAAATAATATACTTTAACGATGACATAAAGTATGAAATGTAAATAATGAGAAGTTTGTATTAATACTATTAATTACCAATATTAATGGCAGGACTTCAGTCCATCCGGCCGATGCAAGCTCTCTTCGCACTAGATCGCTTAATTTATTGATAGGAAAGGCTTTCCCTACCGTAGCACTCGTGGGGAAAGTCTTTGGAATATTGTTGAAACCATAGGCAATAGCAACATCTTCCATTATATCACATGGATGTAAAATATCAGCTCTAGTTGGTGGAATTTCAACTTCTATTTGATTATCATGAATAGTCGATATCTTTGCACCAAGCGACATTCTATTCAAAAGTGAAACGATCTGCGCAGGTGCAAGATTTAATCCAATGCAGGAATTTATATAATCAATCTTTGCATTCATAGTGCGTGGTTCCAGATCTGGATAAATATGGGAATTCTCGTCAGGATATATGACTTGCACAGGTTCAACCCTAATAAAATAATAAATAAATCAGTCAATCAAAATCGCGTTTCTACGAATATTAACTGGTAGATAATAATGATCACCCACGTAAATTTTTCTTTACAATATTCTGAAAACATTGTAACAACAGTGTTTAAGACAATCTTGGCCTTAGTCAAATCAGTTGCGGTGCATTCAATGAAAACATTTTTGGTATTTAGAGTAATCTTCGAGTGTTCCCCATTGATAATGGGTGGTAAAGAACAAACAATACGATTTGAATCGAAGATCACCGGATAAATAGGGGAATCACGAATAATGTGAAGAAATTTTCCAAGATGTTTGTCGGTCTATAAATTAACATACATAAAAATAGTTAACACGTCTAGTTAGTTAGTTAGTTAGTTATTAATTAACCGATTATTCATAATTTACCTCATAAAAACTCATTAATTCTTCCCCATTAAAAACTTTCGACTGATTCAAAGGCTTGAATCTAATTTCTTTGGGTGTAAGAGCTTTATAAGTAAACGGACCTTTGATTGTGTCAAGATCGTGAGTTCCAATAGCAACAAGTGTACGTTTTCTATCAGAAAAACAATAATATTATTAACTTTTCTCAAAATTTGTTGGTTTGCCTTGAGAAACCATCAATTGATTACCTGCAAAGATTATTGTGCAATTTATCTTGCAAATCGATAAAATTATTATATGACTTTTCAGTAAAATGAATATTTCTGAGAACAGCACCAACAACGTGAGGTCTAATTTGGGCTGTCTTATAGAATGATCCATATTCATTATTACTTGAAATAAATTAGACACCATAGTTAAAAAAACCAAAAGAAAATTATTTACCTCCGGTTCAATGATAATTTTTTCCATTATTCCGTTGGCCGGTTTCTGCACACGAAAATCAGGTGGTTTGACTTTTTCTTGGAAAATAAGAAGAGCGCGTGATATTCCTTCTTGACAAAGAAGATCATATCTTAAATACAATGAAAGAAGTTAATTATAATGATCCAATAAATAAAAATCAAAAATCAAAAATCAATCAACCTGTTAGCAGGTATATCTATCTTTAATAGCGCTCTTTCAGAGATTCCACCTGCTTCGGAGACAACACTATCCACTTTATTTTCCGAGGTCTTACTTGTTCAAGAATACAGCGAAAAAAAAAAAGAAATCATATATTTTCTTTGGACACAGAATGTTAGTTTTAAAGAGGATAAATGTTTTATAGCTCACATCCTCTTCTAGTTCAATACCAAATTCAAAGCATAACTCACGAAATTCTTCAGTAGCTGCATGTATTAATTGTCAAATAGAAATGATTAAGAATGGTAGAAGGATGATAATATTCACAACTTGCAGGCTATATTTAACATATTTACTATATTGTTTCCCAAGTGTCGAATAAAGATCTTCCTTGTCGACATTTACAGTTGGCATGACTATACATTTAAAAATGGAACCAGGAATAAAAGTTCGGTAGATAATCGATTCATTCAATTTATACGTTGATCGTAATTGGATGTTTGATTGGGGAGATTTGATTGGTCAAGTAAATCTTCAAAAACGAGAAAATTTTTGTACCCTTTCGATTCTTCTTATAACGACCATTTTAGAAACAAAAGGTAATGCCCGAGAATCTCTTGACATATAAAATTGGATCCAGATATTAATGAAATGAAAAATATTTAGTTCTTTCGTGTCACAAGCCTTTTTCGTTTTTAGATATATAAAAATATATTCAAAAATGGTTAAAATTTCAGTTTTGGTATGTATTTTTTCTGATAAAATTATCGATTGCCCTTAACATTAAATTTAATAACTGATCTTAATTTCATTGAGTAGAATGATGCGCTTAATAACATTGTCAATGCTGAAAAGCGTGGCAAACGACAAGTGCTAATAAGACCTTCCTCAAAGGTCGTCGTGAAGTTCTTATTAGTCATGCAAAAACATGGTAATAATTATATTAATGAAAATGGTTAATCGAAGTTATAACTGAATAAAAGTCTATTTTTATTAATTTGTGGCTTTTGTTTTTTAATGCTTCGAGATATTAAGTAATTATTGCAAAGTACTTACACGCCGTGAGATTTTTTTGCAATCAAGTGGTGTTTATTACTATGCTACATACACGAGTTTGCTGCTAAACTGTTCACTAATTAAATTTATTGAATTTTAACAATCGAATAAAAAAAAAGGTTACATTGGTGAATTCGAAGAAATCGACGATCATCGTTCAGGCAAAATTGTCATTCAATTGAATGGTCGTCTAAATAAATGTGGTGTAATTTCACCGCGTTTCAATATTAAATTAGAAGACGTCGAAAAATGGGTCAACAATTTACTTCCGTCACGTCAATTCGGATTTTTAGGTTTGTATGTTACTATGTATTCTACTGTTATACGATTATAATAATTTTATTCTTTTTCTGTTTATCAGTTCTGACCACTAGTTCTGGTATCATTGACCATCACGAGGCCAGAAGAAAACACACGGGTGGTAAAATTTTAGGTATAGTTTTTGTTCCTGTGCGTAGAAAAGGTAAACATTCAAATGAATTAATATATTTCTTTTATTGCAGGATTTTTTTATTAATAAAAAAAGGTAAATTATATATATCAATCAATCTATGATATATGCTCAGGAATATTATTAATCAATAATTGAATCATAATATATAGACTTTGTCATTAGATTTGAATTCGTCGAGTAATTAAAAAAAAATGCCTTAATTTAAATAATTGTTGGAGTAATTAATTTAAATCAGTTAATGTTACACAATTAAGACCATCTTAATACCAGCGTCTAAAAAATTTTCTTCGCTAGCAATGTATTCCATAGCAACGGCGAATGCGATATCTTCAACAGCTTCGCAAAAGTCATCGATGCTATTAAGAAGAAATCTAAATACTGTTTGTACAAAAATTCCACGTCAAACTCAAAGATATGTATCGCGAACTACAAATGTAGCATTGTCACCTTTATTTGTAGTTCGTTATATTCGACCTCGCCTCAAATCTTCGTTTTCCAAACCAGTAGACAATGAACTGAACGCCGATAACTTAAAACGAACAAACGGGGTAAATAAAGTATTAGGGGCCATTGCTCTTGGTGGTGTCGGGGCATCCATTTATTTTTACCTGCATGCAAAAGAATACGAGGAGGATAGATCAAAAGAAAGAAAACTAGTTATTTTATCACCCACTGAAGCCACTGCAATGTTAAGAAAGAACCAGTTTACCAGAATCCTACAAAATAAATCTAAGAATGGAGTTGTATGGCGATATGACACTAATCAAGTTGCTTCAAACTACCCAATAGAAGATGCAAAATGCGAAATGATATATAACACGAATGAGGGGGATAAATTGTTTTTCGGAGTTTTTGATGGACATAGTGGATGGAATTGTTCTCAATATATAAGCAAGCATTTAATACCTTTTGTTAAGCAGCAATTGGATATAGCATACGCAAATCTGGGGGACAATAGAAAGAATATTGACGAAAGTCAATTGGTAGGAAACACAATTCAAAATGCGTTTTTACGTTTAGATTATGAAATAGTTTTTCGTTCAATTGAGAAACTTATAAATACGTTAAAAGATGTCAAAGCCAAAGCCTCTGGAATTATGCTTGAAGAGGGAGTACTTAACGCGATAGCTGGATCGTGCGCAATAATGGCATATATTGATGCTGGTACGAAAGATTTATATATAGCATCTACTGGTGACTCGAGGGCAATTGTTGGTTTTAAGGATTTAGAGACTGGTGAATGGAAAGCAACACCATTAAGTGAAGATATGACCGGAAGGAATGAAAATGAAGTGAAAAGAATACAAGCTGAACATCCTGATGAAGCAAATATCATTTCATATGGAAGAGTATTCGGTGGATTAGAACCAACACGTGCTTTCGGTGATGCAAGGTATATACTTATAGTATTGTGATTGATGTATATATAATCAAATATGATGACTAATGTATATCTGTATGTATGTATATATATATATATAGATATAAATGGGATAAATTAACACATGATTTGATATTTGAAAGTATATTTGAGGAAAAACGTAATATACCAGGCGGTGAACGTAACAAGACACCTCCTTATGTAACAGCCCGACCCGAAATTACACATCATAAAATTAGTAAAAGCGACAAGTTCTTGGTGCTGGCCACCGATGGCTTATGGGAAAGATTAAGTAACGATGAAGTGGCAAAACTTGTTGGCGGATTTCTCGATGGAAAACCAATACAACTATCAACATCTGATGATAATGGTAACAATGATGATGGCAATAACAATGGCAATGAAGATAATGAAATTCCAAAAAAACCAAAGAATTTTGCATATGTGGATGAAAATGCCTCTACACATATAATAAGAAACGCTTTAGGCGGTGCAGCTCAAGAAATGCTTTGTTCTTTATTATCGTTGCCTTCACCAATGGCTAGAAGATATCGGGATGATATTACGGTGACTGTGGTTTTCTTTGGGGAGGGAAACCCATAGTGAACGTTTTATGATTTTATTAATATTAATATTATTATTATAATATTATTTGTAAATAATTTTGGTATTATAACAATAATAAAACCGCAAAATGCACGCATTTTAATCAAAGTGAATCAATAGACTTTCAAACAAGCCAAATAATTGTTAAAGAATAAAAATCATGAAATTTACGATATAATGATTAAGTTAGATTTCCCATATTCGAATAGTTTCGACTTTCGATGATTTACAAAACGATTAATAAAAAGTAAATTATGCAAAAAAGTCTATCTTTTTTATTCTTGCGAGTTTTTTTAAAAATTATTCTGCACGACCTCTACCCCGACCTATTCCAGCAGGTTTGAATGATGGATTATAATCACCGGTGGCACCGTCCTTATTAGACTTATTAGTTTCAGTGACACCTTCAAAATTGCGACGATATTCACCACGATCACGAGTTTGAGGACCACGACCTCCTTCCTCTATTTGATTAAAAATTACAGAGGAAAAAAATCGCCATTCAAGAAATTAAATTAAATTTTAGAAAAAACTGCTAAAATCAATCAATAAAATTTATGCTCATTTTCCACTTACCCCGAGGAGATCTTCCACCAGCAGCAGCAGGACGAGCCTGTTTCTTGAAAGTAGCTGGAACAATTTCCGACGGTAAATGCAGATATTCACGAAGATACTCTATACCCTCATTGGTCAATGAATAGTAATAGTACTGCCATGAGAATTGTGTTTTCACGTATTCTTTTGAATTTAGACTTTGACATGCTTTAATCACGTGTAAATTTGGAACATCAATATCTTGGTGTTTTGGCGCGTTAAAGTCCTTTTTGGCCACCAAGACACCCTCTTTTGGGAAAAATGAATCGGTTAGATTGATTAAAAATGAATAATGATGGTTTTTCTTAATAATAAATTCAATCAAGTCGTAAAAACTATCAATCCGATTTGAATTATTTTAATTATACTGTTTATTATGATAATGATAATTATAATGACAGCTCACCCTTGAACAGACTTTCGTAGATGAGTTTGCGGTTTTGCTTGGGAATAAGCATTTTCGCTATCTTATCTATTTAATAGATTTAAATAAAAATCAATTTTTAAAAATACGATATTTTGATATGCACGACTTTGAAAAATTTTTTCATTTTGGTCTTTCTCTGTTTTGAGAATGCAAGAATTAATGTTTTTTTAAAAAACTTTATAATATACCATTGTATTCTATTATATAATAACACAGTAAAAATAGATTTTGACTTGATTGATATATAATATATAACATACATACCTTTTAACCAAGGAAAGAAGGAATCAATTAAATGTCAATTTATTTTTTTGTAATAAAATCCAATCACATGACTATTTGACCAATAAAATTGAAAATTTTTGATTTCAACTAAATAAAAATTAAGATACCAAGAGAAGAGAAATGTCTCTAGCTCCAAGTAACGCAGGATCCTGGAACACATTAAATGTCAAACTGAGTCAACCCATGTTAGGATCCAATTAATCTTTTTATAATTAAGTAAATATTGATTGTTGATTAATATGATTTGGGATTTCTATTTTTTCATCAACCAGTTTAGATACTTTGATGTCGTTGGGATTCACGGAAATGACACCTGTACAATCTGCTACCATTCCATTATTTATGCAAAATAAAGATGTTGTTGTTGAGGTAATTTATCGACATCAATCGGATGCAAATATATACTCAAAAGATGCAAATATACTCAAAATACGGATATAATAAAGGGAAATTTATTTTCTATATAACCAAAATTAGGCAGTAACAGGTTCTGGTAAAACACTTGCATTTGTTATTCCTATTTTGGAGAAATTGATTTGTCGTAAAAATTCCTTTCACAAGAACGAAATTGGAGCTTTGGTCATCACACCTACAAGGTAAAGATAACCAAATTATTATTAACACATCAGTATAAGCATTTTTTTTTCGCTTATATTAATTGTTAATTCAACAATAAAAAAGAGAACTTGCACAACAAATATCGTCTGTATTTTCAATCTTTCTAAAAGATACTTCGATTCCTCTAAAACATTCATTATTCATTGGTGGCGGCGGATCATCAACAGTAAAAGAGGATTTAACAAATTTCCTAGAAATAGGACCAGATATAATTATCGGGACACCAGGACGACTGGAAGATTTACTTGTAGGACGTAATGGAGTAAAAAGTATCATAAATACAAAAGAACTGGAGATTTTGGTGCTAGATGAAGCGGATCGATTACTCGATATGGGATTTACGCAATCACTAACAAAGATAATCGCGCATTTGCCGCGGCAACGACGTACTGGACTATTTTCGGCTACTATGACTGATGCACTCTCTGAGATAGTGAGAGCGGGACTAAGAAATCCCATGAGAATTGTTGTGAAAGTGGAAGATTTGATTTCTAAAAATGAGCAAAGAACTCCAAGCACGTGAGTTTATTATGGTTTTGTATTTTATTGAAAATGAATGTATTCATCAATCATATTTGTTGATAATTCCTAGGTTACAAATAGCATATATTGTTTGTGAACCACATCAGAAATTATCGCAATTATTACGACTCTTAAAAGCCGAAACTCTCGCAAAAAAGTTTATTATTTATTTTTCAACTTGTGCTTGTGTAGATTATTTTTACAAGGTATTATTTTTATATGGTTTAGATAAGATAAAAGAATGATTTAATATAGGAAAATTTATATTTTAGATTTTTTCCAAATTACCCCAATTTAAACAATTCTCTATTTATTCGCTTCATGGCCAAATGGACATAAGAAGACGATCAGGTAAATTGTTTCATCTAATTCTTTCTATCAAAAGTAATGATAACAAATTAAAATTAACGCGCTTAATAATTTGTATAATAAAAAAGCAACGTATAATTCTTTTGTAAGTCTACCACCTACATCTCCGGCCCTTCTTCTTTGTACCGATGTGGCCGCTCGTGGGTTAGATGTGCCGGATGTGGATTTCGTGATACAAATGGATGCGCCACAAGATCCCAAAGTGTTCTCGCATCGTTGTGGTAGGACTGCTAGAGCTGGAAAAGATGGAAATGCAGTATTATTTATTGGAAAAGGCAGAGAAGAAGTTTATATAGGTGTGTACTATATATAAATATTCTCATTGCAACATAGAATGATAAATAGTTATTAAATTTAATAACGATAAATTAATAACAATAGATTTTCTAAAAATTCGCAAGATTCCTATTCAACAACAACCGTATCTTCTAGCGGATGGTACGCCATATATAATTCAAGAAAATGCAATTAAAGGCGACGACGATAATGATTCAGAAATGATTCCTAAACAAGATGGCGACAATGACATATTCTTGAATCAGATTCGTGATCTGGTTCTAACGGATCGTGATTATCATGAAAAGGTAAATATTGATTGTTGGTGTTTGCGTATAAATTTCCTAATAGTTTATTTGCTAATTAATAATTATGAAAAATAAAAGGGAATAAGGGCATTTGTATCATATATTCGATCATATTCGAAGCATGATGCGAATTATATATTTAGACTGAAGGATTTAGATTTTGGAAAAGTTGCAAAGGGATATGGATTATTAAGGGTAGGTAAAGCTTTCGTCTATATTCATTTATCCGTATGTCACTGATTATGATAATACGTGATATATATTAAAGATGCCAAAAATGCCGGAATTAAAAGATCGTCAATTCGAATTTGAAGAGGTCAAAATCAACGTGTGTAGTCATCCTATATACAGTCAATCCTCACTTCGATATAACGAAAGCTATTATTAGTAAAAAATTCGGTTTATCGAGATGGATTTACTATAACCGTTTCCGGAACCAACTTCGGTTAACTTGATGCGTTTTTTATATATTCTAATGATAATTAGATGGACGAATACAAATTTTTGGATAAAGCACGTGAGAAAAAACGATTAAAAAAGTTGGCAGAATCAAGAGAAAAAATGATAACAACCAGGTATGACATAACTTATTTTTCTTGTCTGTTATTATTAACGAATAATAATAATAATAATAATAATAATAATAATAATAATAATAATAATAATAATAATAATAATAATAATAATAATAATACGAAAAATTATATAAATGAATCAGGAAAAGAAATCAAAATAGTAGTGTTCCATGGTCAGAAAAACAAGCGGCAAAAGAGCGAAAAATCAATCGTAGATTAAAAAAAGAACAGAAAAGAGAATACTTGAAAAAACAAATAAAATCAGGCAATGATAATAGTAGTATTCAAATTGAGAATTCTGAAGATGATGATCTTGAAATGGAGGAAGAATGGAAAGAATTACAAAGAGAAGAACGATTAGCAAAAAAAGTTAAGCGTGGTCAAATGAACAAAGATGAATTCGAAAAAGAAGTTGGAAATATGTCGGAAATTGAAGAAATTAACTAACGTAATCGATTTAGTTGATTATACAGTGTGAAATAAATTTATTACGTTGTGTATATTTTATTTTTAAAAGTGCACATTCAGTCTAATTCTATTTCTAATTAATTCTATATTATATTATTTTACCCGTATTTCCCTATTCACTACCTCCGATATCAAGACTTGACCCACTCCCCCGTCGATTGTTAGATGAAGAGACACTTGGTGAATGATCATGATCACAATGTTCGATCAAATATCTTCCAAGAAATTCACATGGATTGTTGGGTCTATATATGATTAATTATAAAATATTAATATTAAACAAGCAAAACGAAAAACCCCAATGCCAAAAACAGGGATACCTTTCTATAACAAGTATTCTCATCCCTTCTAACAAGTTTGGTACCACAGTCTTGTCTAAATATTCACGAACAGGCACAGCCGAATCCATATGTAACATATTAGCCGTATGTATTGATCCTTTTTCATCCAATGGAGTTCGTGATGATGATAATGTTATTTCATCGACTGCTGTTATTCCCATTGGTGTTGTGGATGTCGTAGCTGTTGTAATTGTTACTTTATTATCTTCCATTCTTATTCGTAATCGAGCAGTTTCTGGTTCGTTATTATCACGTGGAAGTGGTGATTTACTATCAACATTTAGAATATCCTATAATCAAATGCTTTAATTCAATACTGAATATTTGTTTCTCTATTTGATTATAAAGATTATATTACGAAAGAGAAGTTTTATTCACTTACATTAATAGTTCTTACGGTTGCATTTCCTCGTTTTTTGAACTTACGAATATCAACGCCGCTACGAATAGGACTATTATTAGAATTTGTTTCTGAAGAGTATTCACCTCCCGAAGGTTCAATATTCATGGCTTCTGATTCACTATCACTATTATTATTATTATTATTATTGTTGTTGTTGTTATTATCACTATTGCTATTACTACTACCAGTACTACGGGCACTTGCTCTTTCTTCTTCCTCTTCCAGTTGTCTTTTTTTAGGTTTAGTTTCTGCTTCTGATGTTGCCTGAGAACTACTACCCACAGGAGGAAGTGGTGGGTGCTGTTGTAGCTCTTTGGGGGTAATTCGATCCCCGTCGCGTCTAACAATATCTGTGAACAGGATAGGTATTATAAAAAATACGTTACGAATAATAACGAAGAGATATGGAAGAGAACAACGGAAGGAGAAAGTTTTTATAGATATTAATAACTACGCGACACATTATTATTATTATTTAAACTAATCAGTCGAAAAAATAGTACGTTTTATACGACGTGTCGTCATGTTTGTTTATATATACACTTTGGTCCTTGGTTTGATTGTTACGAATCTCCTCGAAGTACTCTTTACTTGATTCAAAATGCACGTGACTCACGATTTCTATCGATTTAAGCAAACTTTTTCATTCATATCGATATTAATTATTTCTTTATCCATTATAATTAGTTTATAATTAATTATAGAATTACCCTAACACCATATGATAGTTTTATTAGTTTTTTTATTCCTTTAGCAATTCCGAATGTATGTAATTCTTTCAACTAAGAAAACTAAGGAAAAATAAAAGGTAAATTAAAAATTTTAACAAAAATTAAAATTGTAAATGATGAGCTTACGCAAAAATAAGGCTGTTTCAAACTGAACCCCTCGGAAAATATTTTTTCAAGGATAATTTTTTGTGGAGAATACGCTTCCCTGATATTTAACTTTAATTCATATCAATCGATTCTATTTTTATCAGTCACTAATACATCTTTACTACCTAGATATTTGATAAAGATTGTATATAAAAGGTGAAACCATTTATTTGCTATTTTCAATACGAAAAAATGAAGAATACAACCCAAAAGAAAAAAAAATGATAATCCATACTCATGACGTACTTGCTTGCTCGCTTTTAAATGATCAAAAGAATGCAAGATTCACGTCAACTGAAATGGATAAGATTAAACGTAATTCAATGGTGAATTATTTTTTAAAGTAAGAGATTGCGGAATTCTCAATCTTCAAATACCATTGCGACATTTCATTCAAACAAATAATCCGATCAGCCAAATAAAACTCTTGTTAAGCATATATATATCGATTTCCAATTTAAGAAATGTTTATTCTACTCTGAAAGATAAAAATTCCATCCGATACCCTCAAAGTTGTCAACCAATATTTCTCATTGACTATCTTTGATTTTCAATCGGATAAGATAAAGTAACAATTATTCTCGACATCTATATAACAAAAAGTTTGGCAATTATTATAATTATAATTGGTCTGAGAATTTTTGTGCCTGGATGTTACATTTATTATCATTCTTCTATTACATGTATTACGTCCTGTCATTGATTCACTCGAATCCAAAGATTCTCCACACACATGCTTGATATTTCGTTTCTAAGATAAATTACCGACAAATCTCTTATTTCACAGAATAATGCTAATATCATTATTATATAGGAATTACATACATAATAACCTTCATCTACTATACCTGAATTATTAATAAACCTCATTTTTACCCCCCATCTTCGCTATGAAAATTGAAATTACGTGACTGACCGACTGACCGACTGACTGAATGAATGATTGATTGATTGATTGATCGATCGATTGATTGATTGATTGATTGATTGATTGATTGATTGATTGATTGATTGATTGACTAAATATTTTTGATGATCTAAAGAATATATAATTTTCAATGTTTATTTTTAAAATATTCAATAGACTTCAAAGTTGGTTGTTTAGTTCAAAGAATAACAAGTAAAAGTAAAGTGGTAGTAAAAGGAGCATAAACAAAAAAATCAAAGCAAATTTATGCCAAAAATTATAATACGAAGCAAGCGCGTAAAATTATTATAAGAATGAGAAGAAAAGGTCAATTTCAATCCATCCGTTCGTCAATCCAAGTATTTTTGTCTCATCATAATCCACTATTATCATCAAACATCATCTCCTTCTCCATTTTTCATAGTTAGGTATAATACTTTGTTTTGAAAACTGCATTCATCAATTCCTCAATCCAATCCATATTTCCTTGTTTTGTGCATATCACAAATAAAAAAAAAATTAATCAATAATTGTCGGATAATATTGTAGAGTAACAGTATTCTTATTCAAACTAACATACCACATCCCATAACTCTTTTCATATTATCTCCTTCCCGTATCTCAGTCCATTTTGACACTGCATAATTTAATGCGGCCTCTTTAAGATGTGCATCACCAACTTCCCATGACAACATTAATATTTCATCCCAATTATCAAGATCAACCATATCTGCAATTCGGTCCGCGACAATTTCTTCCAATTTTTCCAAATTTAGCATGTCTGCTTTTGAATAGACATCTTTTAGCACACCAAATTCCAGTCCATCTTCGAGTTTTCCCGTATATAAATAATATAGTATTGAACGGAATGTGTTGTATTCCATATGTTTGATTGGGATTGTTTTCATCTATTTTAATAGGTATACATAAAATATAACGTCATCGTTTATTTGTTTATTTATTTATTCAGATGAAATATTAAATATTAAAAATTAAGTATTCAAACATTAAATATTAAATATTAAAATGCATATTAAGGGAATATGAAACAAATAAATTACCTGTCCTTCTCGCCATTTATCACCAAGTAATTTTTCAAAATACGATGACCTCGTGGCGAGTATTATTCGATGAGCTTTAATCCGTAATCCGCAATCAAACGTAAACTCCACATCACTGAATCGTCCATCATCAAGATGCTGTTTAAAAGACGGGAATTCCGACTCTATCGGTACAACGGGTTCTTCAGGTGCTGGAGTGGCATTATTAAATATTTTCACTCGTATCAGCAGATCAACATCTGTCGATGAATCTCCTCCCGGAAATAAATTATCAAATGAGCAAAAGCGATGTCGACCGAAATCATCAAGTCCATCAAATTCGAATTTCATTGTGAATGTCTCATTACGAATTAGAATTGGAGTCGCAGCTGATGATGATGATGATGGATCAGGATTAAGCCTAAAAACCTCCAGACGAAACATTTTATCCCGAAATGTAATGTTATTTTGTTTTTCGAACGGTGTCGGGATCGCTACAAGATACAAAGAAATATGTGTTTTCGCCGCATCATTTACTCCATTCGGATATAGCTTGATTCGCCACAGGTATGGACAATCTTTATTTTTCGTTGATGATGTGTTGTTGTGAGAATTTGACTCAGAGTTAAGTGGTGGTCTTGGTGACCAAAAACGTTCGCTCAAGACAAATCCTCCATTCGGATAGAAATTCACAAGTTCATTAAAACTTCTAATGGGCCATGAGTAAGTAAAAGGATCTTGTCCATGTTTTGAAGGCTGTCGTGCTGTTACGTCTGAAGTCATATCACGAAGCTCGTTACTTCTAGCAGGTATTAAAGGTCCGCTTTCCCGATTACGCCGTGAACACGAACGGACAAACCGTTTTCTGCAAGTTTGTTAATAATTATTTTTTTGGTATAATATTTTATTTTTGTTTTATTTTATTTTTGTTTTTATTTATTAGAGGATAGAAAGAACAAACAGACAATAGGAGAGAGAGACAAACAATAAAAAAGAAGAAAAGAAAAAACAAGTTTTTATTTTTTCTATTGTCAACAAAGAAATAAATTTACGTTCCATAACTGTACCAAAAAACACAACAATCAAAAAAAAATAAATGAAGAACGAAAAGTAACATTTATTATAAAAATATTCGCGCACGCGCAAACACATATTATAATAGATAGAGAATAATAGCTGGCTTCTTACATTGAGAATTTGTTGGGCATAAGAAACGATTCGCGGAAACGGGAAAGCAAGAAACATGAAAATATAAATCCAACGGCAACACAGACACAGAGTAGATAGTGAAATTATCGTCGTCGTGCGTGAGACTATATCGATATTGACATAGTTTATAAATAAAACGGCTTTTGTAGAAAATAATACATCATGGCAAAAATATGATTGACAGATGACGTTGCATCCACAAGGCCACTCCATGTCTTTACGTGCCATGGGCTTAACAAAACCATGCTGATTTCCATAGATTCGTGAAATCTATTGTAGATCTTTGATTTGTTCGCAAAAAATAATTTTATTTCTCTTTAATGGATATTGTTTTGATCTTCGTCATCGTGCATAAAGAGGGACATTTTTTTTAGCAGCAAAATATGACTACACCTAAAATCCTCAACAGAAACATGATACCTAATGATTCTACAATAACTACTGAAACAGAAATCTTTGATAATGGCAAAATTAACAATATCGACGACAATGACGAAGTTCCTTTATCAGATAGTAACAAAATTGCTGGTGTAATGCCATCACCGCCTTCACTATCGCCACCTTTTCCGCCAGTCACTGCAGTATCCACATCTAATACAGTCGTGGCCACTTTAGTATTGAAGGATGGAACTAAACTTCAAGGTTTCTCTTTCGGTGCCGAAACACACTCTGTCGCTGGCGAATGCGTCTTCCAAACTGGTATGTTATAATAATCGTAGTTCATTATGACCTTGGGAAGTTGATATTACTCGTGAGTTGATGAAGAAAAGATTGACAATTTTGATGATGAATAAAATATTCGAGATCGACAAATTTTTTAGTTGATTGGAATTCACGCATTCACTTAACAAGGACTTAAGTTGTTATTTGCATAAATGTATGCATAAACACAATAATATTGTAAAATCACTACACGCATAGGCATGGTCGGTTATCCGGAATCCCTGACCGATCCTTCTTATCAGGGTCAAATCCTCGTTTTGACATTTCCCCTAATTGGAAACTATGGTGTTCCGTCACCAGATGAGATGGATCCTATCCTCAAAGATATCCCGAAATATTTTGAATCTTCCAAAATTCATGTTACCGCTCTTGTGGTCGGGCAATATTCCTCCTACTATTCACACTATCTCGCCCAATCATCATTGGCGGACTGGTTGAAAATGAACGATATTCCAGCTATTTATGGAATAGATACCAGAGCGCTCACGAAAAAAATTCGTATTAAGGGTGTAATGTTAGGCAAAATTTTATTTCCAAAAGAAAGCGTGGCTGGAACATCATCTGTTAATAAGGTTCACGTTGATGGGAGCATGAAACCAATATCGAGTTCCGCCAACTTTAGCTCAAATGGCTACATTAAAGATGAATTTGTAGTGTCTTCGTCTTGGATAGACAAATATCAAGATGTAGATTGGATTGATCCAAATAAAAATAATTTAGTTGCTGAAGGTAAAATAAAATTCGCTCGAGAGAAATTCGTACTGTCTTACCTTAAGAATATAAAGACTGATTTAATTAAAATTTAGTTTCAATAAAGACGCCAAAATTATATACACCAGATCCTAAGAAAGCTATCAAAGGTGTTAATGGCAAAACATTAAGAATTTTGGCATTGGACGTTGGTATGGTAGGTCTAAATTAATAAAATATCTTGTCATTGATTATTTAATATGAATATTTATTTAGATTAAAATTTTATTTTTCTAAAGAAATACAATCAAATCCGTTGCTTTGTAAATCGTGGAGTAGAACTCAAAGTCATACCGTGGAACTACGACTTTCTCAACGAAACTGATTACGATGGATTATTTATCAGGTATTATGAACAGAATGAAATTTGGTTATTCTGGTTGTTCAGTATCATTCATACACAAACTTCGATTGCTTTTCATATAGCAATGGACCTGGTGATCCTACAATGGTCATGGAAACAACTAAACGCCTAAGCATAGCAATAAAGAAAGCGAAAACTCCGATATTTGGGTAATAATTCAATGTATATGTTAAATCATTTTTTCAAGACATCATTCCTTAATATCACATCTTAGTATCTGTTTAGGGCATCAACTTATGGGACTTGCGATCGGGGCAAAAACAAAAAAAATGAAGTTCGGTAATCGCGGCCAAAATATTCCATGCACGGACATGATCTCGGGCCGATGCTATATAACTTCTCAAAATCACGGTTATGCTGTAGACGCCGATACAATTCCCAATGACTTTCGAGAGTTTTTCGTAAACGCAAACGATAACTCTAATGAAGGGATTGTTCACAAGACATTACCGATTTTTTCGGTACAATTTCATCCAGAATCTACGCCAGGACCACGAGACACTGAATATTTGTTTGATGTATTTATAAATGCAGTGAAAGAATCCAATCTTTCAAGAAAATTGGTGCCGATCAAAATACCCGGAGGTACAAAAGAAGAAAACATAAGAAAAAATTATTGTGTAAATCCTAGAAAGGTTCTACTGTTGGGTAGTGGTGGATTGAGTATAGGACAGGCCGGTGAATTTGATTATTCGGGCAGTCAGGTTTGGTTTCGTTAATTTTGCAAGTTCATATTATAGAAGAAAAACATACAATTAATAATTTATAAATTATATAAAAATTAGGCTATCAAAGCCCTAAAAGAAGAAGGAATTTACACAATTCTTATAAATCCAAATATTGCCACAATTCAAACATCACATTCTCTCGCTGACAAAGTGTACTTTTTGCCGGTCACGCCTGAATTCGTTCGCAAAGTCATTAAACATGAAAAACCCGACGGTATTTATGTAACATTCGGCGGGCAAACAGCTTTGAACGTGGGAATTAAGCTTAAAGACGAATTTGAGAGTTTGGGTGTAAGAGTGTTGGGTACACCCATTGACACAATTATCACAACAGAAGATCGTGAATTGTTTGCGCAAAAAATTCAAGAGATTCGTGAAAGCTGCGCGGAATCCGCTTCGGCTGCTAATTTGCAAGAGGCTCTTGAAGCTGCTGAAAAAATATCTTATCCTGTAATTTGTCGTGCTGCTTATGCGCTTGGTGGACTTGGTTCTGGATTCGCAGAAAATGCGCAGCAATTAACTGAGCTATGTAATAAAGCTTTCGCTACTAGCCCGCAGGTATTAATAGAACGGTCAATGAAAGGATGGAAAGAAATTGAGTATGAGGTTGTCCGTGATTGTCGTGATAATTGTATTACTGTCTGCAATATGGAGGTAATGTGAAATTTTTTATTATTCTCGAGTGGATAAAATTTAAAACTCAAAAAATATATTTGTGAATTTTAGAATTTCGATCCTCTCGGTATTCATACTGGCGATTCAATTGTTGTTGCACCCTCCCAAACTCTCTCCGACGAAGATTATAATATGTTGCGTACAACAGCCGTTAATGTAATTAGACACCTTGGTGTTATTGGCGAATGCAATATCCAGTACGCTCTGAATCCAATCTCAAAGGAATATTGTATCATTGAAGTGAATGCTCGTCTTTCTCGTTCGTCAGCACTTGCATCAAAAGCTACTGGGTATCCTTTGGCTTTTGTTGCCGCAAAACTCGGTCTCGGGATTCCATTAAATGAAATCAACAATATGGTTACTAAACTCACGTGTGCATGCTTTGAACCAAGTTTGGATTATGTAATAGTGAAAATTCCTCGATGGGATTTGAAAAAATTCTCTCGTGTTAATAAAGCATTAAGCTCTTCCATGAAATCAGTTGGGGAAGTAATGAGCATTGGTCGCACTTTTGAGGAAACCATTCAAAAGGCTATTCGTGCTATCGATTATGATTTCTTGGGTTTTGGCCAAGTAATTTTATTTTTATTTTTTTGACGGTGTAAATCTTTCTTTGATTGTTCTAATTATTGATTATCTATATATTAAAAGAATGAACTCGTTGATGATATTGAAGAAGAGCTAGTGACTCCATCAGATTTACGGCTATTCGCCATTGCAAATGCGATGCATGAAGGATATACTGTTGATCGAATTAATGACCTTACAAAAATAGACAAATGGTTCTTACATAAGCTCAGAAATATTGTCGATTTTGAATGTATTTTGAAAAAGTATCATCCAAATAATACTCCAAAAGATTTAATTCTACAAGCGAAGCAACTTGGATTCTCAGATCGCCAAATTGCAAAATCTATCGGCAGTAATGAATTAGCTATTCGAAGAATGCGACAAGAATTTTGTATCACTCCATTTATAAAACAAATAGACACTGGTAAGAAAGTTAAGTTGTAATCCTATACGACATCAATATTATGACAGATAATAACAATGCTTAATTTCTTTAGTTGCCGCGGAATTTCCTGCATACACTAACTATCTTTATGTGACATACAATGCAATCGAACACGACGTTACTTTCGAGGACAAAGGAGTAATGGTGCTTGGTTCAGGGGTCTATCGAATTGGTAGTTCTGTAGAATTTGATTGGTGCGCAGTACGAGCTATTCGCACCTTGCGTGAAAAAGGCTTCAAAACAATAATGGTCAATTACAATCCAGAAACTGTCAGTACTGACTATGATGAAGCTGATCGTTTATATTTTGAAAATATTACACTGGAACGTGTGCTTGACATTTACGAGATCGAGCAATCGAATGGGGTCATTATTTCAGTGGGTGGTCAAACTCCTAATAATATCGCATTACCGCTTTACAGACAGAATGTAAATATTCTGGGAACTTCACCTGAAATGATTGACACTGCCGAAAATCGATACAAGTTTTCGCGTATGTTGGATAAAATTGGAGTCGATCAACCCATGTGGAAAGAATTAACAAGCTATGAAGAAGCGCTTGCTTTTTGTGATCGAGTAGGATATCCCGTGTTGGTACGACCATCATATGTATTATCGGGTGCAGCCATGAACGTGGTCTACTCTTCAAACGATGTTTCGAATTATCTGAGTCAGGCAACAGCTGTTTCACGTGAACATCCCGTTGTTATATCTAAATATATCGAAGAAGCCAAAGAAATTGAGATGGATGCAATAGCTTTAGAAGGTCAATTAGTTATGCATGTTATTTCAGAACACGTGGAAAATGCCGGTGTTCATTCTGGTGATGCCACTCTTGTCCTTCCACCACAAGATTTGGATCCAGAGACAGTCCGAAAGATTGTACTCGCAACGCAACAAATAGGGAACACGCTTAATGTCACTGGTCCATTCAATATTCAATTCATCGCAAAAAATAATGATATTAAAGTGATTGAGTGTAATGTTCGGGCATCACGATCATTTCCATTTGTATCAAAGGTCTTGGGAGTGGATTTGATCGAGATGGCGACTTTGGCAATGTTGGGTGTCCCTTTTGATTCATATCCGCCTCTAAATTTACCAAATAATTACGTCGCGGTCAAAGTTCCTCAGTTCAGTTTCAGTCGATTATCTGGTGCTGATCCGGTGTTGGGTGTAGAAATGGCATCCACTGGCGAGGTTGCATGTTTTGGCCATGATAAATATGAAGCATATATTAAAGCGTTAATTTCAACAGGTCTCACTATGCCAAAGAAAAATATTTTATTATCAATTGGATCATTCAAAGAAAAACAAGAAATGCTACCATCTGTACTAAAGTTGCATCAAATGGGATTCCATTTATTTGCCACCTCAGGTACTTCAGATTTCATTCAAGAACATGGGATCCCTGTGAAATATTTGGAAGCATTGGACGAAGATCACCAAAATCTAAGTTCTGAATATTCTCTTCAGCAGCATCTGGCAAATAATTTGATTGATTTATATATTAATTTGCCGTCCAAGAATCGATATCGACGACCAGCCAGTTACATGAGCAAAGGGTATCGTACTCGTAGAATGGCGGTTGACTATGCCATTCCATTAGTCACCAATGTGAAATGTGCTAAACTTTTTGTTGAGGCTCTGGCACGCAAAAAAGATTTTGAGATCAAAGATGTAGATTATAAAACAAGTCATAAAACAGTTACACTACCTGGATTATTTAATCTTTCAGCATTTGTGCCTCATATCGCTGAGCCAGATCATGATGATTTCGTGGAAGTTACTAAAGCTTCATTAGCAGCTGGGTTTACCACTATTAATGTTTTACCAATAGGATTAACCGATTCAATTAAAGATGCTCGGACTATTGGAATTGCTCATTCTAATAGCAGGAATAATGAACATTGTGATTATTCATTATCCATGGCTGTCGCTGAAAATAATGCAGAAAAATTGAAGAGCGTTATACCAGATGCTGCGGCATTATTTATCCCATCCACCAGCAGTCAGTGCAACACTAAAATACCAAAAATGGCCACAATGGTGACTCATTTTGATGAGTGGCCACCTCTTTTGCCTATTATGACAGATGCCAAAGGAACAGATTTAGCTTCTGTCTTATATGTAGCCAGTCTTCAAAATCGTTCGATTCATGTTACTAATGTGACTACGAAAGATGATATCGAATTAATTGATTTAAGTAAAACGAAAGGATTAAAGGTCACTTGTGACGTAGCTGTCTATTCTTTGTTCTTGAATACTAGTGATGTGGTCAATTGTGATGGAGTATTGCCTACACCAACCGATCAGGCAGCTCTTTGGGAACACTTGGAAGTTATTGACTGTTTTACTGTTGGATATTTGCCATACCATGTTGCTAAACAGATAGATCCTAAAGTTAATACTCCGAGCATTGGAATCAAAGAAACACTTCCGTTATTGTTAAATGCAATTAATGAAGGAAAATTGACCATAAAAGATATAAAAGAAAGACTATATACAAATCCAAAGAAAATACTCGATATACCCGAGCAACCAGACACCTACATAGAAGTGGAAATAGATCGAAAGATCACAGTCACGCCTAAAGAATCAAAACATTCACCATTTGCGGGGAAACAACTTTTTGGTAGTGTTAGTCGCGTTGTTTTGCGCGGCGAAACTGTATATTTAGATGGAAGTTTATTCTCTACCGGATCTAATGGTAGAGATATTTCGAATATGACTCATGTCATTGCTGTTAAAGAATCGACACAAGTGCAACAACAGTCCCACGAAATACATCATTCACAAATAACTTCTGTACACAATACTATTCCATTAACAACCGAACTTAAATCACCAACTCTTTTAACAAAAGATTTAATAATGCCAAAATTATTCCCTGAATTACCGCCTGAAACACATACTATGGTACCAACGTAAGTAATCATTATATAAAAGATATTATTTTATTATATCCAATGAAAAATTCTTATAATTAATAAAAACACAGGAATCTTGCTCCTTTCCTCATTGGTTCACCATATTTGCGCAAAAATATTTTATCTGTCAAAGAATTTTCTCGTAACGATCTTCATCATCTATTTGGTGCAGCACACGAGATGCGAACAATAGTCGAAAGATATGGCTCTATTAATTTATTACAAGGACGAGTCATGTTCACAATTTTCTATGAATCATCCACACGAACTTCTGCATCCTTTGAAGCGGCAATGAATAGATTGGGTGGGCGTGTAGTCAGCATTAAAGCAGATTCTTCATCAGTAGCCAAAGGTGAAACATTGGCAGATACTGTGAGAACTCTAGGATCTTATGGGGATGTAATTATTTTACGTCATCCTGAAACCGGAAGTGCAAAGGCTGCAGCTAAATTTTCTCCTGTACCGATAATTAATGCTGGTGATGGAATAGGAGAACATCCCACCCAGGTAATTGACTATTTTATTTATTTTTTTATCTCAGAAATTGCTGAAATCAAGATTAAAATCCATTGAAAAATAGGCATTTTTAGACGTCTATACTATTCGTGAAGAACTTGGGACAGTGAATGGACTATGTGTAACGTTAGTTGGAGATTTGAAAAATGGACGTACCGTTCATAGCTTAGTAAAAATTCTTGCTCAATATCACGTAACTCTCAATTACGTGAGCCCGAATTCATTACGAATGCCTGAAGTGGTGAAAGCAGAAGTACGTAAAGGAGGCGGAGGCACTCCACAAAACGAATACACTGACCTCAATGATGTGATTGCTCAAACTGATGTTCTTTACGTCACTCGGATTCAACGTGAACGATTTGCCGACCTAGCAGAATATGAACGCGTCAAAAACTTGTATGTTGTAAATAACGCGTTGCTAAGTCGCGCAAAATCCCATATGATTGTGATGCATCCTTTGCCACGTGTTAATGAAATTGATCCAGAAGTGGATTTTGATCAACGTGCTGCGTATTTCCGGCAAATGCGTTATGGCATGTATGTGAGAATGGCACTCTTGGCTTTGGTAAGTTAATGTTGTTTATATAAGTTATCGAATTATATTTTTATTAATTAAATAAATTATATATATATATAGGTTTTGGGAAAAAGTCATAATTACATTAATTAATATCATTTATTCCAATATTAATCTTAATTTATTATTTTAAAATCTTTTCCATGCTTTGGCATCACCTTTACCGATTGTGATTTTTTTACGAGAATCATATATCCTTTTCCCTCAACCAACAATGCGAACATTCAACTTCCTCTTCTTAATTATCATCTTCATCTTTCTCTGCCATTTGACACATCTGTTTATTGGCAAATTATTTAATATTCAAAGTTGAATTATGTTGCAGAAAAGTATTTTTTTAGTTATTATAGTCAGTTTACCTTTCGGTACTTTTGATATGGGAAGGCAGGAGCGATTTCGATGTCTTCACGTGGTGCTACCCATTCAAGAAACATCCATATCAAGTAATCAATTGCCACAAGTACACAAAATATTTTTCCGGCCCAAACACCGCAACCGTAGTATCTAAATACATCAATATTTAATATTAGATGTGCCTAAAGTATAATAACAGACAATTCACAAACCTTCTTAGTCTCTCCATAAGGGGGGGTGTCTTCATTTGCCATATTGTGTCGTAAACCTTTTGATTTTTTTAAAAAAATGTCACTTAATCTAGATAAATAAATTAGCTTTTTTTTACCTTTTCAGTTCGGCAAGCTACGTTGACCCAACTATACATTTCTTTGATTTCATCATGAAATTTTGTTGGTACGACTTCTTTTAGCCTAATCATTTTAATTGCTTTTGACACAGCATTCACAAGATCTATATATGTAAAAGTAAGGAAATTAGCATATAGAGTTTGATTTTTTGAACGTAAAAAAAAAGTTTACCATCTTCCTCTGGTTTTGCAAATATGATCATATGTCTGGGTAACACTTCTGGAACACCACCTACTTTGGTGCTCACGACCAATAAACTTATTTTTTATGAATACTACTATGTAAATATAATATTAATTAGATAATATAACAACAAACTAATAAAAAATTACCCGCAACAAGCGGCCTCAACAATCCCTATGCAAAATGCCTCGGTCAAGCTTGTATTTAGAAATATTTGACCTTTAGTCAACACCTTTAAAACAGCGGAAAAAAACGTAATCATGAATTTACAAATTGATAATTTTTGAAATAACAATTTACAAGAAAGAGGTTTCGTACATTTTTAACTTCATGTTGCATCACCGGGCCAAGTAATTCTATTCGATCGTGCAATAAATATTTCTCACGCATTTGCTCCAAGTCAATTCGCTTAGGGCCATCACCGCCTTGATATGAATAAATGAAAAATAAATAAACGAATAAATAGAATAACTAATCACAATGATTTCTTACCAATAATGAAGCGCACCTTGGCATGATTTTGACAAATGCGTGGAATGGCTGCTACTAGCAAATCCATTCCTTTACGATATACCAATCGACTTGCCACAACAATGGTAACTGTTATTGAGATATCATCAAGTTCTCACTCGGACAGAAAAAGCAAGAGTCATTCATTGAATATCTCACTTGAGTTTTGATCTTGTGCCCCAGGATCAGGTTTAAATTGAGAAGCCACAACAGCATTAGGAATAACAGAGACTATTCGCGGATTTAACGCCGCTCTCAACACTGTATTTTCTTTGCTAATTCATAATTTGATACAAACACATGAATGGATGAAATTTACTAAAAAATTATCCAATAATACAACATAAATATTTATTTACCTTGTATGACTAACACAAATAACATGGTCGATATCACTCAGTGAAAATTTCAGCAATTTATTCGTCAAAATACTACTCGCATCCGCAAACCCAAATAAGCTATGATCAGTAAAACATGCCTTCATCCCCATAGTACGCGCATGTAAAATAGCTTCGTGACATAACGAAGAAAACGCTTGATGACCATGCACAATATCAATCTTTTCGCGTAATACAATATTTCTAAAAATTGGAAAGAATCCGTAGATTGTGGGAAGAGTGGCTTCCGAATAGATCACCATATGAGGAACATAGTAGACTTTGAGACCGTTTGTGAGATATCGGATTCCTGTGCGATTACCATACGAATGTGTGATAATTATAACCTTTTAAAGGGTTTTATATATAAATTAAATGTCATTATTAATTATTATCATGATATCGAGCTGGGATTAACTTACTTTATGACCACGTTGGATTAATCGTTGTGATAATTGATATAAATGGCTCTCAACACCACCCATATTCGGGTAAAAAAAATCGGATACCATACTATCATCATACTTTACAATAAGCAAGATTATTCAAAGAATGGATGAACGCAATAACAATTGTTTGCTTGATCGGATATTAAATAAGACTTACGCAATGTTATATGGCATTCTGAATTAATGAATATTGTCAAATATTTTTCCTCCTTTTATTTTATACGATAGAATAATACTAAAATGAAACGATCAAGATGGTGATTTTTTTCGCAAATCAAAAATAATAAACCATCTAAATTTCTACCACTTCATATACATTTTATAATTAATCGATCTACAATATATATCGATATGATTACATTACATAACGATAATCCTAAGAACCTCGTCAAAAATAAAAAAAAATAATAGTTTTTACATTAAAAAAATTTCCGTGTAAATTTTTAAACACAATATGAACACATATCAAAGAGGACAACAATTCGAACGAGAAATTTTAAATTAAAGACCATGTTAGGAATAGTAATTATTGCGAGGGATCAGAATTATCGATAATTTCTTATAATAAAAGAACAATATTTTGAAAATAATGATAAATGCATAAAATATATAACTTAAATGGATTTGCAATAACATTTATATTGCTAAATACTATGTAAATTTGTGAGTATAATTGTTATTCATAGTTTATTATAATAGTTATTGCAAATTTTCACCATAATCCGTTTTTCATCATGTTCCCTCGCAATAATTCATAATTCCAATAAAAAATACAAGCGTTAACCTCACAATTTAATAATATTAACAGATAAAAACCATTTTTATATAGATTAAATCTACAAATATATAGCAATTCCTTGAATGGCAAAAAAATGACTTCAGCCACGATATTTAGCTCACTGCATTTTGTTAAACAAAAGTAAATAAAAGTCGTATTCTGAGCGATTTGGTTAAGGTGATGTAAATCAAGAGAGTGAGAAAAGTATGCACACATTAAACTTCACATTAGCTTTGATAACAAAAACTCGGACAAATTGTGGTTGATAATGAAAACGATTGTTGAGTGTATCTTACAAAAAAAAACATTTAGCTATCAATTTCCATATTATCCTCAATCCGCGTTGATTTAAGCTCTTCATACAATCGTTGAATAAGCTCTGACAATTGATTACGCAACTCGGATGAATCTTTTTGAAGAACCATAAAAGGGGATGGCTCTTGGAAAAAAAAAACAGAAGAAAAGTTAGGATATTTATATATCCAAAGAAAAAAAATCTAGCAAACAAAATAACGAACCATCCAATATTATCTGTATTTCATCCTTAAGTGGTGGGAATATTTTTGCGATTCGTGCAGCTGCGCGATAAATCTCAAAGAACGTTTGATTTATATCTGTAGGAATTATATTTCTCACGAGATCTCTTATTATTGGAATTATTACGTTTTTCGCAAGATAGAGCCTGTTTGTTGTAGATAAATGGTCGAAAGTGGAGAAAAGTATTTTAGGATAGGATGTTAACAAAGAAAACAATTTTTTATTAATTACACTTACGTTGAGCTTAATGGCCACTTTTTACATATCCACGAGGCTAGAATTAATCCGAAATTTCGAACCTTATTGTCTTTATTGGTGATTAATTCTTGTAGATAATCAATACAGACGTCTATGATATGGTATATTAAATTATTGTATAAAAAGATTTATCTTAATAACCACACAACACCACGAAATTACTCAAAGTGAGACTCACGCATAGATTCAACTCGATCAACTATAATTGGCACTAATTCGTGTTCGAAGCCTTGATAGATGACCAGTTTCTGCAGCTTAGAGTTTTCAATAAAAACTTGATGAAGAAAATTGCAAGTCAAGGTGCGAATTTCATCTAATACGCCTAACAAAATTTAGGTAATATCCAAATTAATTTAGCATCTGCATTCTAGATAAAGACAAATATATAAACCGCTTTAGAATTTAAATTCAAATTCCCAAGCTTACCCATTTTCTGTGAATCTTCTATTGGATTGTACAGGCATCCACGTAATAACATAAGAATGATTGTGCAATCTTGCAAATCGAGAAAAGTTTCAAAGTTCTTTTCTGTAAATGTATTCTAATGCATAAAGGTTGATTATATTAGCTAGGTGTATTATTTTTATTTAAGGTCGTAAATAAACATTTTAAACATTTACTTTAAAATGCGGGTTTCCAAAAAAGTATTCTTTGTGGAATCGATGACGAGAACCTATCAGATAAAAAGTTATAATCTAGATGTCCAAAGTCAAGCGAGGATTGATTAGTGAAAGTAATTTATAATTTTATAACCATAAAAATTAATTTTCTTCAGATACCTGTAATACAATCCGATATATGTGAGGACATCTAAACACTTGTGGCTCAAGATTCAATATCGCAATAGGATTAAGCAAAAACACTGATTGCGTAAATTCCTCCATTTCTATTTCCCTATAATTCGGTCTATAAATAAATAAATGTATTCTTCTGTGTCGAAATTTTTTAAAGTATTAAAATAAGAGTATTTTACCCCTCTTCAGTCCCAACTCGTAATGCATTGATGGTCAAAGACGCAAGCTCATTCTGGTTTACACAATTGAGAATATCCCAAATTTTGGTAAATGAATTCACAATACGTTCATCCGTACTATTTCATGCACATCCAAATATATCATTAACATTCATTATAGCGTTATTGTTGATTATTATTATCAAGAACAAGAACAAAATAAAAATTGTAACTGTATTCAAATGAATACCGTGGATCAAGAATTCTTGGTAGAGCGCTTGATATTATTGTGCGTGAGCTCAAAGATAAATCGGACGGTGGTATTGACTCCAATTTATTAAAAACTAATTTAGATAGAAAACCATAATTAGGTCAATATATTAATTCTAATTAATTAGAATAAAACAAATTTATACACTACCTGCCAATGTCTCCTCTGGCTCGTCTAACCATCGAGGAATTACAGCTTGAATATTGTGATCGACAATTTTTTGGTAATCTAATTTTTGGATTTTTGAGCGTTTCCAAATCCTAGTTTTCCAGCTTAATGAAAAATTTTGTAGGTTATTGGATCATCCACTTTTCTAGAAAAATATCATAAATGAAAGAAATTTACCGATCTTCGGTGATAAGGAAACTAGCAATATCAAATGCTTCAGGGTAATTAGAAGCAACCAGTGACAATAATTCCGGGTATATTTCACGGTAGGCCTTTCCCTTATCAGATGTCTCTGCATAATTAAGAATTCGACGAATAGGAATATTCTCCATCGAATCTGTTGAATAAGCTATCATCAAGACAAAACAATACTTTAACATGTAAATATCATTCATTATTCATTATTCATTATCCATCATTGTGAATATAAAATCAAAACTAAAAAAAAATACCTTGTCGATCAACAGGAATTTGAATATTATGATTATTTAACACAAGCGAATGTACACCATTATTAAAATATAAAGCATACATTAGCATCAATACGTGCGCCGGTTTTATTTCAATCATTTCATCTTGGAATAGTAAGACAAGATTTTGTTCAGGAATTTTGGTAATTGGACTCCAATTTCTTGGATTTTTTTCATCTCTTTCAAGAATACTAATAGAAGTGTTATCAGTAGCAGTAAATAGAAGAATGTATCAGTAAAAAAATTTTAAACAGATGTATGGATTGGTCGATGCCGAAACAAACCTTTCCGCGTATCTTTGTAATAGAGGACCCATACTTTCGTGAATTGGGGTGGTAGCATAGAGAATTTGTCGATGTATCCAATTTCGGATGTCCACATTGTTATAATGAAACACTTTTGCTTTTAGTAGATAGTAAAAACACCGTAGCGATAAGGACTCTCGATCTGTGGTTATCTGAGGAAAATTTTGTTTTTGATAACATTTAGCATTGAAATGAAACTCACCCTTTAAACAAGTTCTAATAATGAACGATAGCACCATTCGTTATATAGTATACATACACCCAAATTCGAGAAAGTCGAAGGTTCCAATAATAAGGCTCTCTTTGCCAAAAACTCATCAGTAATCAAGTTATGATTAAAAATCTTTTGTAACTCCGCGAATCCTTTGGGTGCTTTATTTGTGTTGATAGTTAAATGATAATTTGTAAACTGCATTTTTTTCAAAATTATCCAAAAATTAATATCGATTGATTAAAAAAAGATACGAATAATAACATCCAATCCTAAAAGAGCATTGCATATTTCACGAATTTCGGTTGTTTGACTTTTGTTGAAATATACTGCAAAAAGTAAAAATAAATGAAAGTGCTCGGATTTAATTAGGTACCGAAGAGCTTGTTCAACATTATTTTTCTAAGACAAATTAAAGAAAAAGTGAATTAAAATATTAACCTCATATTGCTTGCGAGTATTCAAATATTTTTCTTTGATAATAAATTACCAGTCCATTGTTAAATAACATTTCTGAGCAAATCAATATAAAGCATAAACAAAGTTTCACTAGCCTTAATAATAAATTCAATAATCAAGTTATTAATTCAAATGGATTTGCTGAATTGAAATTATGATTGCAAAGAAAATTTAGAACCTCTCTGAAGTTGCAAATGTCACCACTTTTAAGCATAGCTGTAATTCTTGTAATTTATAATGAATATTTAAGACACTAGCAAATCCACAGATAACACGTAACAAGATTGATAAATCCGTTTGAGTCAATCGAGGTCTTTGATTCTTTGGTCCGAAAAATATAAATAAAATTAAGTGGGTGGATATAAAACAATCATTAAAAAGAATCTCTTAATATACCAATTTGTTTTCCAATGTCTCCATAATTCGACTTTGAAGTTGGCTCATTATTTGAGTTTGCGGTATTAATTGAGCGATTAACCATGCTGGTTTTGTGGTCAGGACACCATCAATAAAGGTCACCTACGCAATTAATGTAAAAAAGAAAATGAATATCTAATAAAAGTTATAATTAATAAAAAAAAAACATAATAAAACTTACCAGATCGCTGCAGGATTTCAAAGTGATTCTTACAGCTAATCCGGCCAAAATATTATGTTTGGCAAGATTAGTGCGTACACTCGGTGAATGATGTGGTCCCAATTCACATAATGAGAATAAGGTTTCTCTAGAAAATTAAATGTTAATCAGCAAAAGACTATTATTGCCGATACTTTGATTTGTTTTCAATTTCCATTCAAACTTACTGGATGCGTGATTTCACATCGGATGGGATGCGATGCTTATATGTTTCAATTAAGATATGAACAACCTTAAAATAATTCATATTAATTTATTACGAATTTTTGACATTATACATTTCATGACTGAGATTTTACCTCCATAAAGATAGGTGGATTATTCGCCACAAGAATTCTGATGATATTGTTTCCATTTGAATAAAACGTTAAGGCTTGCACAATTTCCTATTATAAATAAAAAATATAAATTTTAATTATATGGATTACATAAATGCAATAAATTAATAAAATACTAACTTTTAAATCAATTTCTTTAATATTAACGTCAGAACCGATTTCGTCAAATATATCCCATTCAAATAACGCGACAGGTAGAAAATATTCTAGATCATTTGAATTCAATGTCGAATATCGTTGATGTGTAAATGACTTTGAGGAATATATAGGGCGTATTAATCCCACTACGATTTCAATTAATTCGAGTAATTGTCTGATTTTTCAAATTTTGTTATAATCAATATATAGTTTCTTAAATTTTTCTTATCATGAAATATAGATATACCAACTTTACATATTTTTCTTCTGCTATTTTATTCGTCGAAGAAGTTCCAGCGCTCTAGATAATAAATAATGTTTATTAAAAAAGTACGAATCACACGTAACTCGAACTTGAAATAAGAAATATAACACACAATATCCTGGCTCGCTCCTAATAGATCATGGTCTTTAATCAAGTTTCGTAGTTTCAGCCCCTTTTTCATTTCCTTTAATATAGCCTCAACATCGAAATTGCGATATCTTGACACGATATCAATCTTCTATTTTTTTCAGATAGCTAAAAGTTTGATTACGCTTATTCATTTATTTAAATATGTTATTTGGGATTTAAAGAAATAAAATTACCGCTTTTGTACTTGACAATGAAGTAAGTTCTGAAATGTCATAGGTGCGCAATAAATAAGGACAATATATGGAATAATCCTGTTTAAAAAGTGAATTCCTGACAAATTAGAGTTAAAGGACGTTTAATTCTAATAACAAGGGTTTGAAATTTATGAAATTAACCAGATCTTGTCTCTGTGGTGGAAAACCTCCGCTCTCTAAATATTGAAAGGTGTTAATTATGCGTAACTGAGGTTGCTGTTGTCGTGAAATATGTTGTTGGAACATGACGAAGACACGGACAGAAAAGAAAATTTAGTTGATAATCAGATAATCAATTGTAATAAAATTCATAACTAGACGCGTTCTTTATAATTAAATTATTAATTAAGCCAAATATTACTACTATATTACTGCTAATGCTATTAAACAGACATTTTCATCTCAATCTTTTTATGCGGTTTATATCCAACAACTTCAAAATCCTCGTACCGGAAATCATCAATACCCTTCACATCTCTTTTTATATATAGTTTTGGAAAAGCTCTCGGTTCGCGTTCTAATTGAGATTTGAGCGCTTCTACATGATCGATGTATACATGTGCATCGCCCATAGTGTGAATAAATTCACCCGGTAAGAGATCGGTAACGTGTGCAATCATACGAGTGAGTAATACATAACTCGCGATATTGAACGGTACCCCAAGACCCATGTCACAAGAGCGTTGATATAATAGACATGAAAGAGTTGATTTGGGTGATTCGGGTGTCGGATTAGACACATGAAATTGACAAAACATGTGGCATGGAGGTAGTGCCATTTTACTTAAATCTATAACAAATGTTGAATTAAAATCAACCAAAATAACATTATTTATCATCAATAATGGTAGATAATCATTATACCTGCCGGATTCCATGCGCTCAATATAATACGTCTGTTAGTAGGATCACTCTTAATCATTCTTATAACTTCTTGTAATTGATCAACTCCTCTTCCTGTATAATCCGTATCGCAATCCACATATTCCGCTCCGAAATGTCTCCACTGAAATCCATACACAGGCCCCAAATCACCTTCCTTCCTATGCCCTAATCCGACTTTATCCAAATACTCACGAGACCCATTTCCGTCCCAAATATGAACATTTTTTTCTTTGAGATGCAACGAATTAGTATCCCCTCTTATAAACCATAATAATTCTTCGATAACACCACGAGTAAATACGCGTTTCGTAGTCAAAAGTGGGAACACGTTATCGCGTAACGAGAAACGTAGCTGGTTTGGAGCGAAAACTGCAAGTGTTCCTGTGCCCGTTCTATCAGAACGTCTTTGACCATGTTCTAATATATGCCTAATTAAATTTAGGTATTGGTGTTCCTCGTGAAATGTAGGTGAAAGAACCGGAACTGTCTTTGGTGGTTCAGGATTTGAGGACATGTCAGGAATTGTCTCCCATTCTGGTTTCTTGTTTTCTTTATTTCCTTGAAAACTATTTTCTTCCAAATTTGGTTTCTTTAGTACAATTGGCGACTGTCCAAACTGCGAATTCGTGTGTTTTCGGATTGAAAGCATTGTATAGAAATTTAGAAAAACGCGTTACGTGAATCTCAGGATAAACGATCCGTTTCTGTGGTACATTATGGTGATTGGTTAATGTCATTAACGAGCGAAGTAAAAAAATCTTCGACCAGTGAAATTCGTGGAATTTGTTTGTCGAACACCACCAACAAACCATTTTTGTTGTAGGGAATCCCAAACCGTTCATCTACGTTTGGTATTTATTTTATCTGGTTTATCCCGAAAAATCGATTTTTACAAAATAAAGCCAACCATTTATATACACATTATTAAATATTTCTTCCTCTAACATAGCAAAGCTTTTTTAAAATGTAATTCAATATGACGATGAAGAATCGGATGAAGAGCCTGTTGAAGAATCTGATGAATCGTTAGATGAAGACTCGGATGATGAGGTTACCTCGTCAATTTTTCTCTTTTTTGTCATTATAAGTTTTTGTGCATTCTGTCAAATAGGTAAACGAAATATATTAACTGAGCAGCTAATAAGATAGAATATATTCAAAGGAGGACGGACATACCTGTAAATGTTCTCTTAGATCATCTGTCAAAGCACCCATCTCAATACTAGTAAAGTAATTGATGGCGAACCTAGTATTTCTCGGATTATCTTTAGGAAACAGACCGGCAAAATACTCTTGCATGGACGGTGTCTGCAATCTCTCCTTCAATTTACGCATACCGATTGAACTCTTCAGCTCTTCGAATAAAATCTTTACGAAAATTCGAGAGCTAGAAGTCGTGTCATCTTCCGTCAACCGGATCACTCTAAATACTTCCCAAGAAATTGCGTCCGACCCGAGAAGATGTCCAAAGAATTTTGCAACATTTCGAAGTCGATTCGTCTCGTAGCGATGTATCGTTTCAAAGTATTGCATAAAACATTGTTCATATGATTTTGCCCATATTAAATTAATTTTTGAGAGTCGTTCTCCGATTAGTCCGAAAAATTTCTCGTAAGTTCGTTCTTGTGAGCAACATTCGATTATCATGTTACAAAGTTCAACCTATAAAGTATATAATAATATAGGAAAAATTATTCATCAAATACGAACACTAAATTAAATAATAATATATATTTGCATACCTCTTGTCCTTCTTGGATATTAAGTTTCATGAGCTTATGACAACATTCTTCCATATCAACACTCGACTTGATAGTAAGATAAATTGTTCGTCGCAAAGTAATTAAGTTTGTATTTGTTTGATCATGTATTTGCATCTTTGCCGCTAAATCTAAAGAAAATAATACACCCGAAAGGTTACTTAACACTGTATAGATAGATATGCATAGAAAATAGAAATTACTAAAAATACATTACCCTGATTTGATTCTTCTTCCTCATCTCCTTCACTTTCTTCGGAATCAGATTCATCACTTCCTTCGCCGGAATCTTCTCCCAATATTTGTTTTTTGATTTCTGCATATTTCTCTTGATTTTGTACATAATCTTTATCGAACTTGAAGATTACTATTTTCAAATAAAAAAGATAAGCATTTACATATTAAAAAAATTTATAAAAAAACTCAATCTTGTAACATACCTAAATGCTCTTCAACATCCAACTCATCATCAAGTGATAAATGATGTGTTATTTGATCTTCTTCCTGGACTAAATCTAAATCCGTAGGGATTGGTGGATTATCTTTATACTTGTCTTTTCGCACTTGAAACAAAACTTCAATCATGTATTGAACTCTTGTCTCGATATTTCCTTCTTGCAGAATTGCTCTGAATCGATCATACACGTCATTATTTGCTTTTGGTGATACTTCGGCTAAATGAGCACCACACTCTCGCATAAACCCAACTGCCACCTCAACAGAATCATTAGTAGGCTTTTCTAGTAAAAGAACAAGAATCTGTAGAGCAACTATTTCATGCGCCACGAGATGATTAACAAGATGTGCAATAAAGGTTGTCGTAGCGAGGCATGAAGTCTATAAGAAATGTTATTTATTAATAATAGACTTAAGGGAAAGACACTGATAAAAAATAAATTACTTTGTCATTACGCCGATATGATTTCCGAAATTGTGCAATCAACCGTGTCAATACAAGCTCTCCTACTTGTGGTAATTTTGTATTGATAATAGAAACTAATGCCGCATAAACTGGAGTAAACGGAAGAGAGGCAGCTTGGGCCTTCATAATTGATCTGACAAAGAGCCCTCTTCCACGAATCAAGTTTTCATTAAAGAGTTCTAAAACTATATTCTTAATGTTTGAAATATTAACCTAAATAAAATCATTATCATCAAAATCAATAATGGCTCTAGGAAAAAGCAATGAATAAAGCCGATAAATAAATACCTTGTTTATAAGGCCGTTTATACTTTTCTTGAGGGCTTCCCAAGTTATTCGTTGATACTGCTCACTATTAGGATCGGTAATCTCTTTTTGCATTTGCCTTAGCCGAGCTGGCGGAATGTAAACTCCACCAGCTCTTGTGTCAACTAGTGCTTGATGTTGTATTGACATTGCGATTCGACAGAAAAACTTTAATTGTTATTTATTTGCTATTTCATAATTTTTCCTTAACATTATAAGACAAATCTATCATGTAGATCATTCCGAAGCATAATCTAAAAAGGAAATAATCGACTAAAAATCTCTAACGCTATGTGCCACATGGGAAGACATTCATGTGATTGGCTAATTTATGTAGATCCATGAAGATCATCCATATATAATAAATTAGAATTTTGGATTTACGTGTACACTGGTGGTTGAAATTATACAATATTTCGTAATATAGTTATGGTTAAGTACGGTTAAAGTGCGGTTGAAGTGCGGTTATGACGTATGAAATATATTTATTATAAAAACTGACTCGCGCCAAATATAGTATCTAAATCATGTATTATCCGGCATTTATGTGCCCATATATTTTTTGTATCAATAAAGGGATAGATATATATTTTTTCTCGCCTGAATTTATTTTATTTTTTTCTTGGCAAAGTGATCGGCGTTACAATTTGTAACACACACGTGATTTTTATTTTGGATCTATTAACGGTCAGACAAGTGAATTTTATAATGATAATGATGAACAAATAATTATAGTAAATACATATAATTATATTATAAAAATTACAAAGACCTATTTTCATTTCTATTGTAATTACATAATATTATAATTAAACAGATAGTGTTTTTATAATCTTAGTGCTTCATAATAATAAGTTTTATCTTTTAGTTGATGCTGTTATGGCCTGGAATTATCCTTAATTTCTTAATTTCTTAATTCTGATTATGTGAGAAACATAGATTGTAGAGATTGCAAAGATAGCAGAGATAGCAAAGTTATCAGAATTGTCAAAAATATCTACTATATCATATTTATCTTACATATATAACATATTCTATATTATAATATTCTTATCATAAAATATTTTATATAAATAAAAGATCTTTTGAATAAATCAAAAGGCATCAATTGATCAATACAAAATCTAGCTAGTTAATAAACTGCTTCTTGTTTATTGTTTAATGAAATTGTACATTAATTGATTTCATAATAATAATCTTACATTATAATTCTTACATTTATTGAACATTATTGAACAACCACCAAGTTGCTAAAAAATATCAGTACTGTATTGCTTTAGGATTATCCTACATTAAGTAGACATAATATCTTTTAGTAATAGTGAGAGTCTATCCAACAGATAGAAGAAAACACATTGCATGATAATCCTGAAGTAAACAATGTTATGATTGGAAATTCCTATAATTTTCATAATTTTTATAAGTTCCATAATTTCCATAATTTTCATAATTTCCATAATTTTCATAATTCTTATAATCTTTATAAACTCTAAAAACATCATAAACTCCATATTCTTTATAATTTTTATATATAAATCAATTAGACGAATTTTTATTATCTTAATTTTTATAAATTTCATATAAATTATCATAAATGTAATATCTATTAATGAAAAAATATTATTATAAATAAAGCAATAATGAGACTTTGAAAAAGGCATCAATTGATCAATACAAAAATCTAGCTAGTCAATAAACTGTTCCTTGTTTATTGTTAATGAAATTTGTACACTTAATTGATTAAATAATAACTTATTAAAATACTTATATTTATTGCGCACTATTGGACAACCGCCAAAAGTTGCTATAGAATATCAGTACTGTATTGCTATAGAACTGTCCCACACTAAGTAGATACAATATTTATTAGTAATAGTGAAAGTCTATCTATAAGATAGAAGAAAACGCACTGCGTGATGATCCTGAAGTATACTAATTACAACGAGATTAAGTAACCGTAAAAATATCATCATCAGACGTTGGTTGAACATCTACGTCATGATTATACCTACCAGAAACCTGATCGTGACATTGTCTTGATTTACTTGTTTATATTATCATTAGTCATTTTGTATCACAATTAATCACCAAATACAATCTTACTTTTGCTGATTGTATTAAGGTTGTGTGAAAGAAAGATTTCAAAAAAATTTGATAATTTTTGACAAAAAAGATGATCTCGCAATTGATATAATATTATACAGATATTCAAAGGTAAATATGCAGTTGTCCATCCTACCTAGTTAATCAATTTATGTTATGCAAGCATCTTATTAATGCTACAGATGATAATTCAATTAATTTTTCCTCTGTGTGTCGATATACATAATAATCTTATATATATATATATTGATAATATCAATACTAAATCATCAATGATTGAGTCTAATCAGAATAATATTGATTCAAGTGACAATATGAACATTGATTTTCTTTTATCACTTATAATAATTTTGAAAACAATACATTGATTTATTTTTAACAAATAGTTGATGAATTAAAAGAATTAGTTGTCGATTTACAAAATGAAATTATCAATGGTAATACTCGTTACATGCAAGTTGTCCAGCAACATATACAGAAAACACTTAAAATTGTGAGAGATATCAAAGCATATTGTAATCATCTTACTAATTGTCAAATATGGAAGACTAAAGAATGAACAATATTTTTATCTTGATTTTAATTGCAAAAATATAATTGTAGTTAGTGAATTATAATATATTTCTTTATTAGTATTGATATTACAAGAGCAATGTTATTATATATTTAAATATTTTAAATGTATTAGTTAACAATTAAATATTTTATAAATATATTAGCTAACAATTAAATGTTATTTAAATGCATTAGTTAATGATTAAATATTTTTTAAATGCATTTTAGTAATTATATACAAATGATTTAAATAATTAATGTGCAATTTTAATTCCAGTTGAAAATCACCTCATTCTCACAGAACAGCATCAAAGAAGAGAGATAACCCATCACCAAACATCACCACAAATTAAAAAAATTCGTACCAAGATACCGACAGACAGCAAAAATCACCAATAATGAAGTACAACAAAATCATAACCGACAACTCAGAATACAAGATTAAATTTATGACAACCAGATAACGGCAACAGTAACGAGATCACCATCAGAAAATCAAATTCGATGACTATAGTTAAGCTGAAAACTATCCCATTACGGAATTAACATGAAAAACTGCACCACCCACACAAAGAAACCAAAAAGGTAATATCAGGATACTCGCTGACAATATTGTAAACATGATTAACACCTGTAGCAACTCGCAGGACTTAAACATCAATGCAAATCGGAGAAAATTGGTGACCCACTGGCACTAATGAAAAAAAGTGACCAGAGAACTGAGAGAATCGTCAATAATCAAACACAGCATGTCTACTGGATAAAACATGACAAACGAAAGCGATTAAAATGACAAAGAAGAATCGATTTGACCAAGATTAGCTGATAAGAATTGTACTGACCAAGTAAAAATGCGAAATGTCGATAACTGGTCAATGAGGAAGACAAATGACATTACTAAAGCCATCAACCATCTTAGATAACTCACAACGCACCAGAATTATCATGCAAGCAAAACAATAATAATAGTAAAAAAGTAGTACAATGAAATAAATATATATATACAGTATATATATATTATCCGACGACAATCGGAATGATCAGCCGGACGTGTTTTGATTGGCTGATAGATTAATCTACTCTGATTGGTGCATCTTTGTAGGTCACGCTGGGGTAGTCGGTACACATCCTAAATCACCTTCATCGACCGGTAATTCGCACTTATCTAATTTACCAAATCTGTATATTCCGCATCCAATCCAATCCA